GCTATCTCAAAGAAGCTAACTAATGTTCCTAGGCCACACATTTCCAACAGCAGTGAAAGAAATACATATATGTAAATGTTTTACTCAGTATATACGCAAAACCCAGTGTACCCAGTGTTAAACAGAATATTAAATCAGGCAGACCATCCATCCCCTTTTTTTCACCGAGGCTGGACAAACATGAGTTTATAGTATTTAAAAGGACAGCACGTACTCGAGTACAAATCATTTTCCATTCTACACCAGCACTCAGCGTTCCCCTGAAGCAAAGATGACTAAAGCTTACCCAATCCCATGTCTCCCTGAAGTCAAGTCCCCAACTCAATTCTCCCTCCACGAGCCGGACTCACTCCCAGCCACATCCACTCACGCCCGCTTCTACACCGCGCACCCCGCCACCACCTGCTCCTTCCAGAAAGCCACCCTGTCATCCCAGCTCCTCCTCTTTCTTCAGCTTCTTTAACTAGGATGTGCCCTGGACAAGTACATCCTGAAGGTGCCCTGTCCCTGTCAATGTGGGAAATCAAAAGAACTCCTTCCATAGTACCCAGCCTGGTGGAGACATCCCCAGAGATAACCCAACATGATATACAGCAGAGCCTAAGTGAACTAGAGAGGGGTCATGGGCTGGGGACACTGTGGCCAGGTATGGGGAGAACACTAAAATGAAGAGTTAATCCTGAACGATCAAGGACCTGAGTTTAGTCTTAAAAGCAGAGGAGGAAATGAGATGCCTTGGGAGAGAGGGAGGAGGGATGGCCAAGGGCTGCCGCCAGGGATAGACAGTCCTCAGCACACAGCAAAGACGGTAGACAACTAGGCTGGATATGGAGACTCCTACCCAGCAGGCCATGGAGCACAGGCAGAGCAACAAGGAACTACCACACTGAGAGCCACCACTCACTGAGCATTTATTACATGTCATGAAATAGGCTGACATTTCCAATATTTTAACTCATTTGGTGCACATCACAACTCTTTCAGGCAGGGATGATCCCAGTTTTACACAGGAAGACACCAAGACATACAGAGCAAAAGCAACCTGACCACAAGTCGTGAAGCTGGAAGGGAAGTTAGAAGTGGAATCCAGCTCCAGAGTCTGTGCTCAGAACCATCCCACCAAACTCCCTCACAGGACAGCTAATGGGATGAAGGATACAGGCTCCAAGGTGTTATGAGGATTCCAGGGGACACAGCTTGGAAGCCGTTTGCAACCTGGCAACTCCAGGGCCACACATGTCTACAATGGATCTTCTAGCAGCTAAAGCAGGAGGAAAAGGGCAGGACCAGAAGGCTGAGGGGCCACTGTGAATACCAAAAGCCAGGACAGATGCCTACCAGCAATGGGTTCAGGAGGAAAATCAAGAGAGCAGCAGGACCTAAAGGCAGCGAGAAGGGTACTACAAAGGGGGGAGGACAGGAGAGATAAAAGCTGGGCTAAGAACAACTGCGGAGTGAGAACAGGCCCCTGGAATTCAAGACTTAACTTGTGTGGAGAAAACTCTGAGAAGAAATATAAAGAAGGGTGGTAAGGAGAGAAGCCAGAGGGCAGGTGCTAAGGATGGGACAGGAGATGAGACAGGAGGTGAATGCTCACAGCACAGGACTTGGGAGGGAGGCAAAAGAGACCTACAGACACAGAGCGCCCCTGGAGACACAGGTAAGTGGCCTGGCCCACCACAGGCTCACAGCAGGTCTGCTTCTTCCCCTTCCGCCTTCCTCTTCAGATCTGGACAAAGATTTCTCTGGGATTGGTGGAGAGGCTGAGGACAAATAACTCAAAGGATACTGTGATGACAGGATCCTGGCAGAGGTGGGAGGGAGTGGCAGCTGGCACTGAGGACGGGCTTCCTGTGTGCTGGGCACTTTACACAGAGCGTCTCCCTTAGTTCTCATGGACTCCAAAAGGCCAGCTGTCACGCCTCCAGAGAGGAAGGGCCTGAGGCCACAAGAGTCAAGCACTTGTCCAAGGCCACACAGCCTGAACTCGAGTCCCAGGCCTTTGTGCCCTGAGAGCTCAGGCTCTAGCCCCTTGTGAGAGCTCAGTAAGAGGAAACAGAGAAGGGGTCCACTTCCTTTCTCTGAACTGGGAGGAGACGAAGGGACAACAGGGAAAGAGACAGAGTATTTTAAATGGAAAGAGACGCTGAGGGCGCTTAAGTCAGAGCAGGTCTTGTTCTGTATGACAGAAAAGACATCGTATTTGGGGTAAGTCCGTCTTGTTACAGTGGCAACAAGGAGAGAAAAGACAGAAGAGTGACATGCCTTGTGTCCCTAAGCACGCACTAAATCTCAGGGCTAGAAAGGACATTTTATTTCCCTGTGAGTATCTACTTTAGTTGGTACTAACTTGAATCACCGCCCATCACTGTCACGTTGTAAGGAGCAGAAACTCCTTAACGTTGACTTTTTCCTATCACTGTGAGAAGTGATGACAGAATCACAAATACAAGAAAGCTCACAGATGGAAGGCAACCTTTGCACCAAAGAAAGATGCAACTCCTTTTTTTTTTTCACATTCTTATGCACTGTTATCAATGTAGCCACGTCTTCTTACAGCGCTTGTCCATCTTTAGTATGTAAACCCCACTAAGACTGCTGGGATAAAAGGATGGATCTGAAAACGTGGCCACTTCCTTTTGCTGTCCTGTGGCATGCAAACCTTGTCTGCAAATAGCAGACAAACTTGAGAGTAGTCATCATTTTATAAATCACTTGAAATGGATCCTTTAAAACACCATCTGTTGATCTGCTTAACTTTCCTATGAAAATAGGACTTCAAGCTCAGATGTTCTGGAGGTTCAGGAGGTAAATGCCAGCCTGAATTCAAGTGGATTAAATATTTAAAGATTTCTAGAACTTTAGAGCAGAAGGAAACTTCGACATCACCTAATTCAACTGTCTTACTTTCCATCTGAGGTGAAGGGAGCTCAGAAAGGATTAGGAACTTGCTCCGATTGGCACAGCCAGGAAAGCTCCACTCTGGGCTAGAAAGAACCACCTCCTAACTCCTGGATTAGGAATCCTCTCCCATTTTATGTGGTAGAGATTGGAGCAAGGTACAAATTTAACTACTGTTTTCACAATATTATTATTTACTGGCTACATCTACAGCCAGACTCACAATGTCTCTATAGAGTCAGCCTCAGCTCATTCAGACAATTTCAAATCCTACTCAGGAAATTTCCAAGCCTTCTACATATGTTCAGAAACCGTTTTAAAAGATTTATCAATAAAGTGAACTCAGTAACAAAGCATAAGCGAAAGATTAAACTGTATATTTTTTAAAAATATATCTCGGAATTTCATTGATATGGAAATCAAATTTAACAGCAGTGATTTTTTTTAAAAAGTCTTGCAGGCATACAGAGTATGCATGAGATTATTCAAAACTGCTCAAGAGCAGCAATGATTATTTTAAGCTCATGATTCAACTGGTACATTAATTAAAAACTCCACCAACCCAAATTGCCAGTTCTTGATATCAACGGAACCAGAAGAATGAAAATAATAATTGTCATATAAAAATAGATTAAAGGAAGGGCAGCAGCCGATGTCAGAAGGACAAACGACAAGCAAATGCGATGGGAAATGAGATGCATCTAAAGGGCAGCTTTTATGTATTAAAAAAAAACACAAAACCGAAGATCCTGGAAAGTCGGCTACTGTTAAAGAAATGGTTCTTCATAAACACCGAATTTGATTTCTGGAAGCCGAGGGAGAAAACTTGGCTGCCAATGCCCTGCTGAGGAGCATCGATGTAAAGAGGGAGAGAGGAGCGCGAGCTCCCAAGTGCCAAAACAAGGTTCGGAGACCGCGACGGGATGGAGGTGGGCGACAGAAATGGGAACAGGGCTTCTGCGGTGAGGGATGTCAGTCAGGTCCCCCTCCGGCCAACAATTTGACGGCGACGCCCGCGTCCAGCGCAGCCCTTCCTTCCCGACGCCCGCCCGCCTCGCCCCGCATCTGCGCGCCCGCTCGCTCGCGCGACCCCCGGGAGGCTGACACTCGGCCCCCAAGGTCGGCTTCCAGGTCCTCCTCCACCTCGCCCCAGCGCCTCGAGAGCTCCCCGCTGTCAAAGCCCGGCGACCGCCAGGCAAGCGGACACCTCGCCCCGACATCTGTCACGGCCGGGGCTGCGGCAGCCTGGCTCGCGGCGCCCTGCGCGGGGTTCGGGGCTGCAGGGCGG